GGTTTTTTTTTTCTAGGTGGTTTAATGAAAAAAGACATGTGAAGCCTATTGAATACTAAAAATCTGATCTGTAAATGCCATTCATTGTTGTTATGTACCATAAATAACTGTATAGATATTGGTCTCTTGATATGAGGTGTGCACTCAAACAATAATGATGCTTTGGTTATTAATATCATAGCGAAACAGAACATCATGTCTGACTACAGGGTGGTGAGAGTGGAATGTATATGGGACTAGTGGTGGGATGTGGCGTCTTTGGCTTCACATGTCACAGGTTTGAATCCAGGCTGCCTTGGTAAGTGACTGACATCACGTAATGTGTGATGCTTTTCAGTAAGGGGCAACAAAAGAAGCACTTTTCCCTTGGCTGTCCTGGCATGGGTAATATTTTCCCACTTGCAGTGGATTTAGATGGGCACACCACATCACTCTCCACGCAGCTCAGTAGCTTTTGTAGCATTTGGTACACTATAAAATTCAAGGGTTACCCTCTGGAAGTTGCTTTTTTGGAGTCCAAATTTTGAGCTAGTGAGGAGCATGCATCTGCTGGATCCCAACTGTGCAGCCCTCCTTCAAACCATTTAACCTAGTGAGCCTTAAGGACTATATCTAAGTTCATAAACCATGTGATTTGGTTTTCAGCTGCAGCAAGCTAAAATGTTACAAAGCATCCTCTATGCAATGTGGGTCCCTTTAAGCTTGAGCTTAAGCTTAAAAGTCACTTAAGTCTCCATTTGCAGCCACAGGATCTGCAGGTATTGAAGAACTAATAAGAATAGGTTGGATATGCCTCATGTAAGACACCCCAAAAATCAAAATGCATGGTACTACTGCCTCTTTCTGAAAACTTTGGCTTAGTGCCTACACCCATTTTCAGCAAGGAGGGAAGATGACATTGCTGCAGATTTTTCCTTGCTGTGAGAAACTAGCAAGGTGAATATGCAACAAGGAGGAAATTGCTGAAGGATCCATCTTGCAGTGGCAGAATCTATTGAAAAAAGGAAAGGGGATACTTGAGCCAACGGCGTCCTTTCTGAAGCCCTTCATGTATGTGCTGCTCAGGCTGAAGCCTCAGTGTTTAATATCTCAAGATAGATGGTTGGCAATGGCAAGACTTGGCTCTGACTGATGCAGACCCAAATCTTGTTCCCTTCCATGGGGATTGCACCTGTATCCCTGAGAGCAGGATTTGGCCTTGTGGGTGGTTCTACCCACAGATGCAGCTGATGATACATGCTCAGAGGAAGGGGAGAATGCAAATTCCCTGTAGGGAGGAAACCGCCAGCCATGTAAACAAAGAAGCCTTCTGGGTGTGCAGCAGTCAGCCCACTTGAGCTGCTGTTTCCATGGTGTACCAGATGCTGTAAAATATGCTTTCTTCAGGGAAAGAAGCTTTTCATCCTCCTGCATTACCTTTTTTGATAATGGTCTGTCATCAGGGTGGTACCTCAGCATAGGGGCCACACGCAGCAAGGCCCCCGCCCCAACCCTTTTCTGAGTTTTTGTGAATGACAGTTCACGTTCTGCAGCTTCCAAACAAAGAAAAAGCTACAGGATTTTTCTGACTTGGAAGAGCATTACTGACTATGCTTTTGAGCTTCATTGTTATGAGTGACTGTTTCATGTGCTACAGTTCCTCCTGATGCACATGGTGTCATCTCATAATACTGTGCATTGTTTTGCTTTTCAGCTTCCTTCTGTTTTCCTAAAAAATCAGAATACATATGTTTCCATTTTTCCCTGATTATCCCCTTCCTAAGCCCCCTCATTGCTTCATTACTGCTCCTGTCTTATGGCTGTTTAAGTCACTGGGTACATATCAGCAAGCACCATTTCTGAGTTCACTTCCTCTCCTTGTGTTTACCCACTAGGTGATCTTGAGTCAAAGAGAGGTTTCTATCTCCTTTTTCTTGTAAAACAGTTGCTGCTGGTGGGCAGGTGCTTAGTTATCCTGTAGGTACCGAGTACAATTGCAATTATAAACTTGGACAAACCTGCAATAATGAGCATTGGAGCAGATCGACCTCAGCTGGTGTAAATAAGTTACCAAAAGCGCTTAAGAGGCTTGCTGTGCTTCAGACATGACTCACAGGAGGAGGAGGAGGATGTTTTCAAGGTACCTGTCTACTGGAAGCTGTGTTCAGGGATGACGCTGCAAAACTGGCAGAGCTATGTGGATGTGGCATATCCCCTCACTGTGTACTGAGACAGTCACAGGTTCATTGGCCTTCCTCACGGCTATTGAGAAGAAACACAGGTGTCTTCAGATGACCCCAGCTTCCTCCAGTTGAAAGGTGTGCCTTGGCTTCTGAGGGACGCACACACACGTTGCCTCTGCCTTGCCCATGCTCCGGTCACCGCAGCCTTGCAGGGCTCTGCGTGTGCTTTTTGCTCATCTTTCCCAGGCAGCCCGATGAGACCTGCTCCCGCATGCCCACCGTGCCTGTGAAGGGGGCTGGGATAGCAGCGGGTCCTGGGTGAGGATGGCAGGGGCAGGCAGTGGTTGTGCATTCATGTGCAGTGGTGCAGGATGTGAGAAAGTGTCCTCTACTGTAGAGAACAAGTGCTTTTTTTGTTCCCGAGGATGCTTTCTCACAGCCTCTCCCAGATACTTTTGAACTCCTTCTCTCCCCTCATCCTGCAGGCTCATACTTCTCGCTTTGAGGAAGAAAAACCAAGCATGGTTAATTTTAAGCCAGGGCAATCATTTAGGAGACCTGGAGGTGGAAAACCAGTTATTGGTTAACAGGCCTGATTTGAAAAGTGTTCTGCCTGACCCCTCTGCTGTAGTGAGCCAGGAGCACCGCTTCCAAGAAGCTGGCTTTCTGGAAGGCTTTTTCATTGAATCATTTAAAGCCTAGGCTTCTTGTAAATGTTAATATCCCGCTGGCTCGCTGGAATGCAGCTGGTGGATACAGCAAGTGCAATGCCTATGTGCATGCTCGCAATCCGAAGAAAACTTAGCAGGCAAGGTTCAGGCTGTAGTTTGGGATGTCCCCGCTGAAGGCTCAGGGTAGGAGGAAAGCGGGCTTGGGGGCAAACCTGGGTCAGCATCATCTCCCGAGACTGGGAGTCCCTCAGCCCTGTGCAACCCATACCATTGTGATACAGCAGCAGCGCTTTGCACCCTGTCTTCAACTCTGCCTCCTAACCTCGAGTGGTGCCCTGTTTCGTGCCGGTGCCTTAGCGCGGCTGTAAATGTCATCGGTGTTTCTGCAGGTTGGAATCGCTCTCCCTGGCAAAGCGGTCAGAGCATGCCCATGAGCTGAGCCTGCTTTATCAGTCTTAGATAGCTGCCTGGAGAATAGCACTGGGGAAAATTTGGCCCCAGGGTTTTCCCCATGCATCAGTAGGGAATGGCAGTAGGCAACCTTTGTAATGCCGAAATCATAGTAATTGCAGGCTGAAATCCTGCTAGCCCTGAAGTATCGCTATAGCAAAATGCAGGTCGGTGTGAATGTGTATGCACCTTTTCCCCTCCCTCGGCGTCTGCAGATAAAAGCCTTTTTGAGTTAGCTCTAGGTATTTATGGTATCACAAAGGCTTTGTCCACCTTAGTGTCTGCCTGCTAATGGATGAGGCTTTTCTGCTTACCTTAGTAGTAAAGTATTGTTCCAGTGAGAATACATATTTTTTCAGGCAATCATCTGAACCACCTCTTTCATAATTTTATCTTTAGTGTGTTTTCTTACACACCATCCAGTGCTTTAACTTTTTGTAGCTTAAGGAAAACCTAAAGTTCTTGCCTTAACCTAGAGACATATTGTCCTGTAGAATAAATATATTGCCAGTGCAGGATTTAAAAAACAAACAACCAAACCCACAAATGTATTAAGAATAAAAACAATTGAAGGGCTCTATAAGAGGACTGTAGGTGGTTGCAAGTGCTTTGCTAATTTGGATGATAAGTTAACACCCAAGAGAGATAAGTAGGATAACTTTTGATTATCAAATTCTCTTTTGCTTAGTGTGGTAAAATGCTCCCAAAGCATACACACATTACATAGTCTTGTTTATTTATGTCTGTGGTTAATGTGTTTACAATAGTTCATATTGTTCTAGCTAATATTCTACAGTATGTCAAAAAAAATAAGAAAGATTCAATATGAGGCATAAGTATTCTACTTTGCTAGTGAATTTTCTCTGAAGAATGAAGATAGATCACAATAGTCTTTCTTGAATTAATATAAATGCAGATTAATGCAGTCAAATGTATTATTTTTCCATAGACAAGTTACAAACACAACGCAGTACAATTCTCAAATATCACAGTTCTGTTAAAACAGGTTTTTTTTATATTCACCTTTGGGGATACATTTTGCACACCTTCTTTTGGATTAATCAATTTGAATTCATATAGGACACTAACAATTTAGTATAGTGGCAGGTTTATTTAGATAAATGGATACCAATTTTCATCAATTATGAAAATGAAACACAGTAAAAATTCTAAAAGTTTGTTAAAATAAATCTGCTTACTATTCTGCAGGGTGTCCCAGGTGACTGCCTCATGCTAAACTCCAAGTTTGCAGGTTTCAGGTTTTTTTAAATAATATAATTAAAACCAAACCAAGACAACCTTTTCACATTCCCTGTGTTTCTCTTGTGTGTAGTAAATCATATACTTATTCTGTTACTAATTTCTCTGTCAGTTTTTCCATCCACATGCGTATCAGAAAAAAATTATGATTTGGGACCCCAATCATGAAATTAGTTTCTTTTTTGGGGAAAAAAAAAATCATGAAAATGGTAATGTATTTTGGAGTGTAAAACCCTGATGAAAACATGTTTCATAGCTTTCCAGGCCTTTTTGGGGGTTGGGATTTTCTTTCAGTCATCATTTCTAGACTCTACTGTCACAGATGGACAATGAGAGAAAGGTGAAGTTACGAGTTAATGCCATGGCCCTCCTAGTTGAGGTTCAAAGCTTTGGTCTGAGCATTAACAATGCTGTGAGTTTCTGTTCTAAAATACTTCGTTGTTTGTCTTCTCCACAGGGTTTTTGGGAAAGCCACACAAAACTCCTAACGGAGTATGGACCTGTTTGTGGGTAAGTTTAGCAGTGCCATCAGCACTTTCTTCTTTTCTGGCTCTTGCTGTTTGGGTTTGTTGGGTGGGAGAGGAGGAAATACCAAGATAAGGTGGTCATCAAAATCCAAAGTGCAGTGTTTCAGTCTGGGGGACAGAGGTGGAGGTTGTTTGATTACATGCAGAAAGTAACCTTGGTGTGTTTCAGCTCAGCATTTAGTGCTGGACTGCATTTTTCCCTTTCTAATTTTAACTATGTTCATAAAGTTTAGACTTTTTCAGAACTGTACAAAGCTACCAGCTTTCAATATTCTCTTTTCATCTGCATATTCTTTATACTTAGAGTGAACAGTGAAAATAATAATTTATCATCTTAAGAAAACCTCAGTTTATGAAATAGTATGAATTTGGTTCAGCTGTTGCTGTCTATATTTATGCAAAATTCCTAAACTTAAAATACAATGAAGTACAGATTAGAAATGAGGCATTCCTCTCTCTTCTAGCTCAGCTGTGCTCTCTTATTTATTAGGAGTAAAGAGAGTTTAAGCAGTATATCCCTTTATGCCAGTCCTTCCACGTTTCTGTGAATGTAACTTCTGTTCCAAGAACTACTTTCCAGTTGTCATTATTTTAAGTGGAAATGCAGTTATTTCATGGTAGCTTCTATTGTTGTGGTCAGTTAGTGTTTCTAGCATAACTATTACTTCAATATATAAGTATCAAGCAATGTCTGCAAAGTACAGACAATGAAAAATTTTTTTTCCTGTGTTCTGCAAGGGGTTTAAGACACTCGTGAGAGCATATATGAATGCACGTGTGCATATTTGATCATAAATGTTATAAATGTGCTTTGTATGCTCTTCCAGCAAAGAAAGCTCTGTCAGAAGGAAGTCAGGCTCGGCCATATGAAGCATTTGATGCTCCAGTCACAGCCGCCTTGTGGCATTTTTACTCGGCCCTAAGGACAAAGTGCTGTAAGAAGTGATGGGAATAATGAATTCCAAGGGTTAGGTATTTGTCTAAGAGGAAATAATACAGTGTCTTGGCTGGCCGGGTATGGAGAAAGATATTCATTAACACTGTGGCAATTTGTATGTTGTGTAACAAATGGAAAATGACTGAGGCTTATTATCTCCGTGACCTTTGGTGTGATGCCCTTAAATGACAATAATGTAAGAACACTAGCATCCATTCCTCAGTGTATTTCCCTCCTTATTAATATCATGCCTATTTTTTTCTAAGCTGAATTTGAGACAAGTTGCTGTTTAGTCGTCTGTCTGCTCAGTCGGCCAGGCAGAGGCTATGTCATCAGAGAAAGAGATGTAGAATTACAGCGTGCGAGTGGATAGAGAGAAAGTTTCATTTTTCCAGTCTAACCACAGCTGTTAGGGAATGAAACCTCCATGAGACTTGCTTGGGCTGCAAAGCTGGATGATGGTGGTAGTGGTCAGCCAGGACAGCTCTGCCTCTTATGGATCCTGTATGTAGGAGTGAGCAGATTGAGCATAACTGCATCCCATTTATTGCATGCATGAAAAACTCAATTTGTTGAGGGATCTAGGAGGCTGGTGGAGAAAAAAAGTTGTTTTTTCATATCTCTCAGGAAAACTTTGCTGTGCTTGAGGTAAGCTTTCTGTGCAGTTGAAAGAGAGGATGTTTTAAAACCTGGCTTGTGAGCTGCTGTTCAATAGGTGTGGTATGTGTTGGGGGGTATTTATCATGGTCCCGCCAACTAAAGAAATTCCTTCTCCTTCCCTATACATCTTCTGTGTGATTGTTTCTGTGGCTCTTTGAAACAAGCAATAAATGGTAGGTGTGTTTATGTGTATGGTCCCAGCAAAGTATTGGATCTGGCAGTTGGAAGAAGATGTGGCATTTTGCTTTTTTTCCAGATTGAAAACTGCTTTCCAATAAGCATAAAGAGCAATGATCTTTATTTCTACAGTGGTGTAGTGAGTTGAATACAAATCTTTAGAACTGAAGCCTTTTTTTCTTTCTAAGGTCACTTGAATAGTCTGAATGATACCATCACAACTGTTTTCTTTTGTGTGTGAATTGGTTTCCTTGACAACAGGATGTCAAATCAACTTTTCAGCTTTAATCAAGTCAAAACAATATATCCCTTCCATTCCAAAAGGCCTCAAGTCGTAGAGAATTATTTCAAGTAAGGCTTTTGTAGGTCACAAAAGCATTATTTTTTCTTCATTCCCGTGTGCAGATCTAAAGGAGAGGTGATGGTATTACTCATTTATAGAGAGAGACAATGCAAATAGTCTTCAGTTGTAAGTGTGCTGCGAAAACTGTCTGTTTTCATACAGAGATGGCCCAAGATGGAGGCCAAGGCAGAAACAAACAGCTCTGGTTTGGTACAAAAGCAAAGCTGGAGCATTTCTATCCAACAGGGGAATCCAAGCCATTGACATGACTTCTGAAGAGATTCTGCAACAGAGTGGTGGTCTTTGGTTCAGCTGTAGTTTGGAGCACCTTCTATAAAATACTTCCTCTAAAATATGTTTGCTGGTTCTCCATGACAAAAAGTGAAAAATACCCTATTTGGAAAGCAATGTACTGATGCACATTAAGATTTGTCTTGAATATTCTCCTTTTTATGGTAAGAGTTTTGCAGGAAAGTAGTCCTGGTTTCTGTGGAAATTAGTCACTTATGTCAGATATTATTTTTTTTAATGAACTTTGATGTTTTGATACTTTATTTTCACCCCCACCATATCCAATTGTTCCATTTCAATTGTAGGTTATGGAGAATGATCGGAAATAGGTGGTAAGAGCAGACAAAGAAACAAAGGGCTTCTGGGTTGAAGAGGAGAAATAAAAGGGGAGGGAATACTTTATGGAATCTGAAAAGCAACTGCTACAACATGAGCAGAGCTGTAGAGGCAGTGAGTTAATTTTACTTCATATACACACTTTGTATGCATTTGACCACTCTGCTGCAATTGCATCATTATGACTTTACAGCACTGTAAGCATGTATGGCTGATTTGGAGTTGGAGAATAGTGCCAAAATAAGCAATATATTCTTGGCCCAACACCACACTACCAGTGAAGAAACAGAAAATACGATACAGCCCCAGGCGGGCAGGTGATTGCCTCTGGGATGAACGAACCTATTCTGCCTTTGACTGTAGCAATGCATTTGGATGTGGGGAAGAGTGGAAGAGTTCATAACATAGACCCCGCTTCGTATATTCAAAGAGTAAGAACAGAAGATTAAAATTCAGTGCAATTTGTAAAAAATTTCTTTGCATCCTTTTGCATCTGAAAAAGCTTGCAGCAGATCAAACCCTATTCTTATTCTTCCGTCACTTGAACTCTCAACTTCAACCTGCTGTGAGACATCTGAACAGCTATGTAGTAGAATAAGTGCTGAAAAGGACAAGGACAAAGTAACGAAGAGATGAAGAGATGGGTCTAGGAGTAGCAAGAGAATGGAGTTTGGATTAAACCACCTCTGGAAAGTGGGAGACAACCGGGGTGTTTGAGTTCAGGGTTGTCAGGCTGTGAGCTGGCAAAGGGAGACAAGAAGCTCAAAATCTGAAATTTCTAATGGGGCGAGGAATTAACGAGAACATTTCTGGCAAGATCCAGTTGTAAACCATTCTCAATCCATAATAAAACCACCAGCAGCAGACTGCATCTACCTGTGCTGAGCCTCTGCTGGGCTCCAGCACAAGCATACCAGGATCAACACGGTACCACAGAA